CGACATCAGGCCAGATGTCCTCGATTTCAGGCCAGAGGTCCTCTACAACAGGCCAGATATCCTTGATACAAGGCCAGACTTCCTCGGCATGAGGCCAGAAGTCGTCGACATCAGGCCAGGTTTCCTCGTCATCAGGCAAGATGTCCTTGACTTTATGCCAGATGTCCTCGACATCAGGCCAGATGTCCTTGATATCAGGCCAGACCTCTTCCACAGGAGTGCAGATCTCCTCAGTATCGGGCCATATCTCCTCCTGCCCCGGCTCTTCCCCGAGAATGGCTCTCGAGACTGCCTGTGAACCCAGACATCCTGTGGTTCCATCGATGTCATCACCAGCCTCACGGATTGTCAGCACATTCAAGACACTTTGTCCAGCGTCGTGATCCATCCTACCACCTTCTTGCTCTGGGTCAGGAAATCCAAGGTCCCGCTCTGCGACAGCAGACATGGTATGAATTTCCTGCCAATTTCCTGCCAATGAAGATCTTACTGAAGCTTCGAGCTTTGAAGGTGTTGGTGGGGATGAGGCGTTGTTAAGGTGACTATCACGAAGTAGAGAGAGGCTGTTGGCCTCAAGGACCTCCTTGGAGGTAGTGAGAGCAGTAGGAAAGTTTTCCACTAGTCAGCAGATGGAGTTGGTACTTGTAGAGTACCTATAAAAGAAGGGCTAGACAGCACCAGGGAGGAGCCTTCTGCTGAGGCAAGCCCCAAGAAGGCTGAGAACCAGGTATAAGGGGGCGGAGCATTGAGGAGTAATAATGGCCCTTCTCACACGTCACCACAGCTGTAAGCTCATTGGCTGAGACATAGTGATTGACGTGTATTGTGTCCAATGAGCCATAGAGGTCCTTAAATTCTGGGGACTGCTCAGAATCACACCTTTTTCTCTGAGGCCTTACTGTCTTGGGATACCTTTTAAGACGATAGGAACCCTGTCTTCTAAATATCACATTGTCAGTAAAATGATAGTGTATCAATATGAATGAGCTTGCCTGCACTGACTTCTATTTGACATGGGTTATGCCAATATAGACAGAGTTATAAAACAGGTATAGAGGGGCAGAAGAGATGGATGGCTCAGAAGAGCACTTACTGCTCTTCTAGAGGATCGAGTTTGGATTCCCAATGCCGACATGGTGGTTAGCAACATTTCTAACTCCAGTTCCAGGGCATCTGGTGTCTTCAGGTGTCCTTGGACATTGTACACACATGATGTACAACCATACACGCAAGAAATAGCACCTATGCTCATATAAAATGAAGATCTAAAAAACTTTAACACCCAATGGTTGTATAGCTCAGGTTTCAGCAGTGGTAAAATAAAAGAGACAGAAAAAGGCCTACAGTAAAAATTTGCAATGGTTACAGTCAGACCAAAGGGTTGAAAGTGAAAAACAATTTAACAGGACCGGGAAAGTGTTTAATTCTAACTGCCAAAATCACATTAATAAAACCATAAATGCATTTAAAAAAAAAGAGGAAAAGCATGTTAAATGCAAAGGATATCTACCTAGGATTACCTAACAAAACGAAGAATTTCTACTTCATTATTCTCTTTTAGTTATCCTTTCCTATAATTAATCTGCAACTATCCCATTGATCTCAAATCAATGGTTCTCAACCTTCTTAATTCTGTAGGCCTTTAATATAGTTTCTCAAATTGTGGCCATCTCCCCATTCACAAAAATATTTTTGTTGCCGCTGTGTAACAGTAATTTGTGTTGCTCTTATGAACCTCAATATGAATATCTGTGTTTTCTGATGATCTTAGGTGACCCCCGTGAAAGGGTCATTCAACCAAAGTGGTCATGACCCACAGGTTGAGAACCACAGCCTTAAGTGCTCATACTCCTTACTCTGCTGTATGACCTAATTTTTATTTCTGTAGGGTTTGAGCAACATTGACCAGGAAACACAATGACAAAAGAGATAACTACTGTATTAGGCAAAACAGTGAACTGCTTGGTCTTCTTGTGCCAATCACTCAAGTCATATTCATTGCAATGACTATGCATGAGGGTTAATAGACACTCCCATGAAATTCTTGATATTTACTCAATATCCTCTTTGTACGAATTTCTCTTTCTTTTTCCCTTGTTAATGGGTGGTGTCATAACTTCCTAATTATCATTATCACTAGAAACTAAGGGCTAAAAACTCTCTGAAATCTCTTGGTTTCTTCTCCTTTCTGATTGTGTGGCAGGAACTCTAATTGTGCATTTCCATAAGGTCCTTTTGTCCCTTCAGTAGAGTAACCCTTTCCTTTGCCTACTGTTCCACTTCCACGATGGCACCAAAATAGCCAGGTGGTAGCTGAAACTTCCTATTCAAAGTTTGTGCCTTAAAAGTCTTCCCCATAGGAATGAGAAAGATTCTAAAATGTCATAGATAGCAACACTATATGAGGATAGCCAGTTTGGTGTACTCCTCTCCACCACCCCCCTCATGTAAGTTTTTGCTACACACTGGATTTTGAAGGTACAGCACCAAATATCAGTTTCAGGTTTGGGACAGGAGTACAGAGCCATAGCTATACAGTGTTAAACATAGACTGCTGTTTTAGTTATCTTGTTCCATTTGATGAATGGAATCAAGTCAAATGTGATGGAGTCACTAACAACCACAAACATACCTTATTCAACTTGGATATCCTCTAAGACCAGACTACTTTCCATTAAAACTGGAAAAGGTGTTAATATAGAGTCACTGACCTCCTTGTGCAGTGCATCTGAACCATCCTAATGGTATGATCCTTTAATACAGTGCCTCATGTATTGGCGCCCTCCCCCTTCAACCATCAAATTATTTCTGTCCTACTTCATAAGTATAAGTTGCTACTTAACCATGTATCCGATCCTAAGCCCATCAGAAATAGGTGTTTTCTGATGGTCACAACCCACAGGTTGAGAACCACTGTTCTACTGCTTATGCCATAATATCCATAGTGAAGAAAGTAAATTAGTGTTCATGCACATTGTCTCTAGGGTGAAAAACAGTGAACCTAGGGAATAGTAATCACATTGCTGTATAGACACAAAAGTCACTGTATCATCCTGAAGAATACAGTTTTCTTAGTGGTTCAAGAAAGGCTTCAAGCTCTGATGTTATCAACAATGAAAATAAATGATGTTTATTGCAGACGCCATTTCAATTGACAATGTAAAGCCTGTCTGTGTCCAACTCCACAACATATGCAAGTATATAACACAATGCCAGGGTACTTTAACTTGAACTTATTTATGACATTTGTTTGGGTCAGTTCTACACTGGTTTGGTAATCTCCATAGGCACTGTTTCTATGTAGATCTAGAACATACCACCAGCGTGACCTACTCCAAGGCTATTCAGGCATCAGGAGATGCATATGAATTCCCTTAGAGAGCAGATAAAAATGACAAAATCAGTAACATGACAAATATTTGCTTTTGCCCCAACACTGAATTATACCATAGGGTGATTAACCATGCTGGGGTACTGGAGCCCAGAAACCAAAAGCATTGATTTCTCATCATTTTCCAAACTTCCCGTGGTCTACAGGTTTCTCTCACAAGGGGTATGGGAGTGTGACTGTCAGCTTTGTATTCCTGTGATAAAATGCTCCACATAAATATTTAATAAAGATTGAGGGTTGATTTTGACCTGTGGTTTCAGTCCATGGTTTTGGCCCAGTTGATTTGGGCCTGTGGTGACAGAGTAAATCGTGTTGAGGATATGTAATGGAGGAAACCAGGTTCACCTTAGTATGGCCAAGAACCAAAGTGGTAAATTGTAAGAGGTTTATGCCTAATGATTCAAATTGCTTACTATAGGCTACAACTGATAATGTTCTACAGAATTCCAGTAAAGTTCTATACCCTACCTATTTATTCTCCACCTCATTTACATAGTCTCTTTCAACTACTCTAATAACCATTTCTTCTCCTTTATCTACTGTGGGATTGTCTGTATGTCAAATTGCTCTGATTGGTCAATAAATAAAACACTGATTGGCCAGTGGCCAGGCAGGAAGTAGGTGGGACAAGGAGGGAGGAGAATTCAGAGAAGCGGAAGGCTGAGGCAGAGAAACACTGTCAGCTGCTGCCATGACCAGCAGCATGTAAAGACTCTGGTAAGCCACCAGCCACGTGGCAAGGTATAGATTTATAAAAATGGGTTAATTTAAGATAAAAGAACAGTTAGCAAGAAGCCTGCCATGGCCATACAGTTTATAAGTAATATAAGCGTCTGAGTGATTATTTTATAAGTGGATTGTGGGACTGCGGGGCTTGGGGAACCTGGAGAGAAGCCCTCCAGCAACATTTATCTCTCTATAGCCAAACATGTCTAGGTGTGTAATTGGCCATTGTAACTAGAGCACAATGTCTCTCATTGCTGCTTACATAGACCTCTATTGCCTTCCTAAGTTCTATCAACCAATCATTGTGATTGTGATATGTATTGAACTATAACCATCAACCAAACTTAAGTGAACTAATATAGGTTGGTATCACCACATACTAAACTGCCTTTTAAAGTTGATGACAGATCTTTCAGTTTTTGTATAAACAGTATAATATTTCTCTTTTAAAAACTCTAATAATCTGTGTTCTCTCTTTCTATTTCTCTCTCCCTCTTCTTTCTCTCTCTCTGTCTTTCACTGTCCTTCCCCTAATCTCTCTCATTGGTGTATTTATTCTACATCTTATTGATTTATAGATGATTTGTTTCAGTAATAGTTCTTTGGTTATATTGATTTTTTTGTTTTTAGATAATTGATTTTTAAAATTTATTTGCAAGTGTATGTGTGTGTGTGTATGATTGTGTGAATGTGTGTGTTTGTGTGTTTGTGTCTGCCAGTCCCTATGTGTGATCATGCATATATATCCCAGATATCAAGCAAGTTTTCTGAGACAGGGTCTCTTACTTGCCTACAATCCAGTGAATAGGCTAGACTGGCTGAGCAGTGAACTCTAGATTACAAGCACAAGCCAAATATCCTGTATTTTTATGCGAGTTCTCAGGATCAAATTTAGAGTCTCAGCATTTGCAAGCAAATCCTTTTCAGACTGAGCTATGCCCAGGTTTATACTGTATTTTGTTCAATTATACTTTAGTTATTCTTGCTTCAATTTGAACTTTCTTTAAATTTTTTAGTATCTTAAATTGAAGGTTCAGTAATTATGCAGAATGCTATCTTTTAACATAGGCACTTGCAGTGATGATCATCAATTTAAACACCACTTAATATACAATTGCTACATTTGTGTTTATCATGTTTTGTTTTCATGTATATTAAAATGTTTACTAATTTCCCTTCTGACTCTTCTCCTTGACTCTTAATTATCTAAGTGTGTGTTATTTATTTGCAGATATCTATTAGAAAATTAATAAATAGAATAAATAAAGTCAAAAACAAAGCTTCAAAAAACAACTGAGTCAAAAATTGGGCTTTAGCTCTTAATAGTATTCTCAAAAGAATATACAATGTTAAGAATGCCCTAAAAAGTGTGCAACATCTTAGGAATCATGAAAATGTAAATTTAAAAATCTGTTTTTATTTTCTAACTCGAGTTAAAATGGCTCAAAATGATTGAAAATCAAATGACAACAATTGCTCCTGGGGCTGTGGGGGAAAGAGCAGCCCTTATTCTCTGGTAGTATGTATGTAAAATGATGCAGACATGATGGAAATCAGTGTGGATTTCTGAAAAGAGATTTAATGTATGGACAAGATCTACAGTTGTTGGGCATATATCCAAAA